GAATTGCGATATTTTGTTTATAGTTAATTATTGTTCTATCACTTTTTGTGTTGTTTGTTCTTTTGTAGTGTTATTTACATTGAAAAAGATCAGCTCTTACAATTGTATTGAATGTATTATATAAAATGTCAAATATTTGTTTAATCATAAGAGAAGTAAATTTTTAATATATCAGATAAATTTGTCATAATTTTGGTAATTTATTGTCTGTCTTTCGTTGTTTTATCGTTGTCTAAATTATAATTCTTGTATATTTTAATTTTTGTCGTCTAAATTATTATTTTTTTCTGTATTTGGTGTAAATTAAATTTATGAGAAAAACAAAAGCTTCCAAATTAAATTGCTTGTAGTCACAATTCTTCGTTTTCTTTAAGTATGTTACTTAGAAGAAATATCTATTAGTAATACTATTAGCGAGGATAAGTTCATTGTTTCATCATTGCTATATCACAATCTCTATTCTCTGTGTTTCCCATTTTATTGTATAATACTCTGTACATAATGGTGTAAATGTTCATCGACAACTTATATATGGATAGAATGCGCACTTGTAATTTTCGTAACAGCGGGTGAGTGAATTGGTGAATGGTACCGTTTTCTCTTTGATTACTCGTAACGTTTGTAATGGGCATGTCGCGTCTCCTCTATTTTTCCATCTGCTCTCAAATATATCGCGATAAATATAGTGTCACAGAAGATTGTTGCTGTTAAAGGTTTATCTCGAAATAAAGGAAATTTGCGAAGTGTTGGTGGCTCGTAATGTAATAGGTACCTATAAAGAAATAAGTCGGGGGGTTTTAACTCTCCGAGAATTTCAATACAAAATATATCGTGGGATAAAATCTATATCGAGTGGAGTTGTTTGTGAAATGTCGGACATTGCGAAATAATGCACTATAAATGTAGTAAAGGTAAGATACATAAATCGCAAATTATAATTGTATAACAAAAGAAGATGAATGATAAGCAACAACTCTTTCTACGGGCATATTTTGCTAGGAAGCTGCTTGATTTGGTATATACATTTCAAAGACTGAACTTACTTTTCTCGAAGCGAAACGATCTACAGCGTTAATAGAAGCCACGAACATGCGAGAATACCGACGATCCAATGAGTTACCGTTTTCCTTTATTATTACCGCAATATTGTATCTCGCATGTCTCGTGACTCAAATATATAGCAATCGACTTTATCGAGATCGGTAAAGTTTTTCCACTTTTCCGTTAAATAAATGAACCATCGCGTCCCGCGACTCTTTACGATACGCTCATTTGTTACTAGAATCAAGTTTTTTACGATTTATAAAATAAAAACTGGTGACTTGTGTGTGTTAAATCAACCATTAATTACTGCCGCTGTATAAAGCGTGCCTGGCGGTGTGGATGGATCTTAATATTGTTAATAAATATACGTACCTAATGTTATTAATTATTAACTCCTGATTTGTAATTGGAAATGCGAGATTATTGAAGCCTAACGTGCGAGATCAGGATTTAACAATAACAGCAAATTGATAAGATAAATTTAAGACATTCATAAGTTGTACGATTAGAAATGGAACTCTCCTACGTTCTGGGCTTCACGAATCTGGCTTTTAAGCGGATCCTACTAATAAACGCCATAGTGGTCCGAAAAAAATAATTAGCTCGAATAAATTAAATTTACTTTAATGTACTTCATTGTGTGTTTTCTTCCTTACCTCCTATTATATTAAAATTCTGATAAACTAACAAATAACTAACAATCAAACGTTTCACCAAATAGTAAAACTTAAATAATAGAAAATGTGGAAATATATCGTACATTAATAACTTCATACAAATATATTTATTAACTCTACTAATATATTAATAATATTATGTATTAATAACTATTATACATATAATATATTCATCTCTGTGGAACAATAAAAAATTTTGTCATCAGTTTGCTAATCAGTTTGCTGATTATTTTATTACAAAATAAGTTTTAGTGATTTTTGGTGATTAATGATGAAACTTTTTTTAAATAGTGTCCATTTATCAGAAATCCGGAAAATGAAGTACACAGACGTTTTCGTACGTACGTGTTTCACTTTATTTATTAAATTAATGTTGACACAGGTTATTGTGTATGTTGTACAGTGAGAGTCGTGTATATGGGCAATAGTTACCTATCTATATAGTAATAGAATAGAATTAAAATTATCCATTTAAATACAATTACGCGTTATTATAGAATGGCGTAAACTGCCATTGCTCTCTTTTTGTATTTCTTACCCATTTTCTCTGTCCTTCCGTTTAATTATATATATTCACATAATTGGGACGAGAAGATCGTTAGATTTGATTTGTTTCTTTATTAAACTGCGTATTGATTCTCAATTTGGACTTTGGTTTTTGATGCTTTGAGTAGATCTCTTAAATAATGAGTGTTAATTTGCTTTCATTTTAACATTTTCGTTGCGACGTATCGCATTTCGTTGGCCAAGCAATTTCGAATTTACGACGGGTCGTTACGTGACAATAAGCATATATTCGCATCGATATTCACACGTTTATAGGTGCGTATTCTGGTTGCTCCAATTTAACCCCTGAAAAAATAACACGTCGTGCGGCCCGTTGAAAACTCTCTCTTGGCCTCTTTATTGATGATTGATGTCGCGTCTTCTTTCCTTCTCTTTCTTTCTCGCAGGATGTTCAATGTGCCTGTCAAAATTAAGCACCACATCAGACCTTCATCTTATTTTAATAACGACTGGAAAATGTTATCTGTAATCCATAAATCTTATTAGATTTCATTTAATTTAAACAATAAAAAATCTCGTTCTTTCATGTTATTAATTATTAATTATTAAGAAAATTTATCGTGTTATTAATTATTAATTACTAAAAAAATTTAATTGTCCTACATTATTGTATGCTTCATACTTATGGTCTTTGTATTATACACTAACATTCGTAAAGACGACGACGCTGCGTTCGAAGTGGCAAAGGATAAGGTGACAAGGTGGTTATTTTACAGATCCTGCCTCGTCTCCTGGACGAGGTACACCTGGGAGCCGGGCACGGTCGAAGTGGTGACAAAGCTGCGGTGTTTGGCGCGTATCAGGCTCAAATTGCTCTCCGCCGTGTCGGCACGGTCCTCCGCGGCCTCGAGTTCTCTTTGGAATCGGCGGACTCTGGTGACGCTTTGTTGGGACATGCCCTCCTGCTCCTGCAGCTGCCTCTTGTAGATGCTGACCTTCTGAGCGGCTTTGTCAAACGATTCCTGCAGCAAGGAGATGTTCTTCGCGTCCTCTTCCACCTGAATCATTACCTCCTTAATGTTACGCTCCTTCTTACGCAGTATCTTCACAGTCTCAGCATGTCGGCGCTTCTCTTCGTCCAACTCGAGTTCCAGATCGCGGATCTACAATATGAATTATAAAAACAAAATCTACCAAAGATTCACGCAATATTCATTGACACATTATTTCGTACATCACGAAAACTTTGTTGCCGAGATCTAAGAAACGTTGCAATCGAATATTATTATTGCCACTTAATTACGTAAAACTGAAGTGTACTTAAAAGAATTCAGAATTTTCAGTTCTAAATTTAGGTCGAAGAATACGTTATTTAAATTAGAAAAGTTTTATATATCTTCTCACCCTGGCTTCGAGCTTGCTGATGATGCGCTTGCCTCCAACAATGGCGTTAGCCTCAACCTCTTCCAATCTCACGGACAAGTTCTTCACCTCGATCTCCAGCGACTTTTTGATAGCCTCAATCTTGACAATACGCTCCTGTTCCTCGTGAAGAATCTCGACGGTGTGCTTGAGTTCAGTCTGCACTCTCTGGTATCTCTCGTCGCTAACTCTCAATTCCTTAGTGACTTCTTCGTAATCTCCTGCCAAGGTAGCCAGTTCTTGCTCCAGTTTAGCCTTCATTGTAGCGATGTTTACGTTGATCGTAGTTAACTCGTTAATGCGGCTAACCGATTCCTCGTATTGCTGCTCGACAAGCCTCTTCGCGCGTAGGGCCTTTCGACAAAATTTTACTTTTTACACTGCCATTACGTAACGCTTATATAACGTTGTATTTGTGCGTCGTACCCTCGCTTATCCGGAGGATAAACTAAACTTTTCGAACGCACATTGTGATCAATCTCTTTCAAGTTAAACGCGCCAAATCAATCTCTCTACTTACGGATTCGTAATTGCCGCGGATCTCCTCGAGCTCGGCCGTCAATGATTGGAGACGACGTTGACTGATGCCTAGTTGGTCCAGGGTCACTTGCAACTGGCGCTGTATTTCGTCATAATGAGCTTGTAATTCCTGAAAAATAATTCAGCACGTGTACAACAGCCGCCATTTTGGATGTATTGAATAGTAAAGATAAGTATTGATGTTACGGTCAAAGTGAGAGATTGCTTCTTGATGGTCTTCTGCAAATCAATGTTGTTCTTGTTGGCGACGTCCAAAGATAATTCGAGCTCAGTGATTTGGATCTGCATCTTTTTCTTTATACGCTGAACCTCGGTCTTCAGCCTCATCTCGGCTTCCACCACGCGAGCATTCAGCTGCTCGATTTCGATGCTGGTCTGTTTGCTATTAATTTCGTTCAATGTAAACTCAAATACAGTTTCTTACTCTCTGTATTTTGGTAAATATTATTTAAGAAATTTGACAATTGAGATTATACTTATAGCTATTTCTAGAGATTTTCTCAATGAATAAATGTTTTCTTGCTTATTATCCAAATAACTGTGAAAGTTTCGATATTCTTTCTATTTGTTATCATCTTGATTTCTATCGGTTTACCTTATCCATTCTGGGATTTAATTTTCGGCTGCTTTTACACTTCACATCGCTTAAGAGTCAGAAATGTTAGAAATAACATTTTTTAGTCAAATCTTTCTATTTTGGAAAATCAATACTAACTCATATTGAAAGTATACAAAGTCGTAAAATGAAGGGGTATTAGAAGAAGAAATTACAAAAGAAATACATTTCTTTAAAACACAAAACCAAATGTCACCTGTTGAAATCGTTTATCTTTATTTTCACGCATTTCTACTCTCCTAGAGAAAATAAAGTATCATACCTTCCTTTACTAAGAACTCGGTTGTAACACAACTCTTACCTATCTACTACGCTTAACATTATAATACTCGCATCCTCGACATCCATACAAAAGTTCTCGCCTCGCCCGATCTTGATACCTCTTATCTAGAAAATAATTGCTGGACTTCTGCTCGAATCCGCGCAGCTCCCTGCTAAGCACACCGAGCGGCTGCGTCAGCTTATCCTCATCGATCAGAGCCTTGGCCCTTTCGTTCATCAATCTGCCGTGCGCCGTGTCGTCCCAGAGAGAATGCACAGTTTCCCTTTGGAACTTCCGGACGTCGGCCAGTTCCTGGCTCTTGGACAGATTTTTTAGCGCCTCTGTTGTCAGATGGTATTCTATCGCTTTCGCAGATTTTCCACGCAGACTTTTGCTATGCCTCACTGCGTCATTCACCTCGGTCATCCTCTGAACATCTTTCAACGCCTGCATCTTTATATCGTTCCTCGCTTCCTGATGGAACTCCCTGACCTCGCTGCGGGCACGAGTGCTGGCGAACGTCAGAGGCATGGGTAGTCGTTTCAGGTCCTTTCCGGTGCGCGGAAAAATCTCCTTGGTCACGCGGCTGGCCTGCACGGTCTTGGCCAGGCTGAAGTCCGAGCGATTTGCTATCTTCGGACACGTCAGGCAGACAGATGGTCAGCGTCAATTTTATGTCGCACGTTGGTCGCTCGTGTTTTTCTACGTGGACGTCTAACGGGCGCCACCGTTTTCCGTCATGCACGCGCACTTGCGCGACGTGGTCACCTAAACTTAGCCGCAGCGGTCCAGAATGCGAAAGTAATCGGCGCTACTCACGACCGACCCTCTCGAGAGATTCAAGAGCGACTGCCAATGCATCGAACACCTAGTGTCCTTTTCGCCCGGGGACACGAGATGGATTTTTGTACTGTACGATTTGGCAAACTGTTCTGACTTAATCAGAACTGTAAGGAATAATAATAGGGTGCCAAGAAACCGTTCGGTGCAGCGCTTTCACGATATTTTTATTTGCCCGGTTAATTTTCTCAAGTCGATAATAGAAAGCTTCCGAAAGCGAATTGTTTAAAATATCCTGGATCGTTCTGATGATGCAATTCTCTTTAATAGCAATGTATTAGAGTTTATTAAAAAATAAACATGATTGCAATTGAAAGTATAAATGTAAAAAGCAAATAGATTGTATTTTATTTTAATGTAAACATTATTTGGCATAAATTTTACATTATTCCCGGCGCTTCATTTTTATAAAATTATGATTTATAAAAGAGAATCTACCAATATCAAAGAAGGAAGTTTATTAATTTTCCTCTATTACATACGAAATTAAAGAAAAAAGACCCTGATAATTGTTATTGAGTTATTTCTGCGCGAAAAGAAAGAAAATAAGTTGCGATGCGAGAAAATGCAACGACGTCAATAATGACACGAATTACGCACGGCATCCGTGCACACGTCTTTGATCGTTGCCACTTGAAACGAACCAACTTCTTCCGCGGCACCAAATTTAGAAACCGAAAAGGTCAGGTAGTCGCCAAGTCGCGCAGCATTCGGAGAACGGATCGCCTCGTATTTCCCAAAAACGTCCCTTCGCGAAAATTTATCAGCATTTCTCTCTACTAGCATACCTTAAAACGAGACAGGTGATTTCTAGCTGCGTCTTCAGCGTCAATTGCATATTTAATAAGATCGTCTCTTGTATAGGGTTGTACCTTTTTGTCTTCCCATAAGACTCTACCATCAGACCAGGGTAATTCAGGCAAGTCTATTCTTCTTTTAAACTCTGGTAAAGATGATCTTGCGGCGAGTCTCTTGGTATCCATGTAATCAATCATTGGCTGATAATAATTGATCCCATATCCGTAATTTCTCGAGTAGATGTACGTCGGATAATGTCGCCATTTTGGTTCTATTGGCATGTGAATTGGTGGCATGTAACTCGCCATTTCTGGTAAAAATTTTAGACGTCCGCACAAATGTTAACTTTACTTTTTGATCAGTAACTTCAAGATTTGAGATACAGAAGAGTGTTGGTGTAAGGAATCTTTCGATTTGTCGTTTCTTATAATCTTTTCGAGAGAGTTTGACTAAATTCCGTTATGGTCAGGCTTCTGGATTTTTACCTAACACTCGCGTGGTGAATTTGTTGATGGATGTGTTGATACATTTGTGATATCTATGAACAGGTCTACAGATGATGGTGACACTTGACAAGATCGTCGACAAAAATTGGGCCGATAGTGAGGTGGTATCTTTTGTAGTTTTCATTGCGATTGCCACATCGGGAACAACCAATCAGCACCTCTCAATAATAATTGGATCATGACTGATCGTACCTATTAATAGCTATTAATAGCGTCGTACCGTTGTATGAATTGTCAATCGTCTGTCCTTATTAATATCCTCTTATGCTCGATTACACTACATTCCATTAATTATTAACTATCAGAATACTTATAATTAGTTTTAATCTTACTGCGAAGTGTAAGCAAGATGTTTTACAAGAAATGTAAAATACATATCTATTGTAAAGTGATTTGTATTTTAAATTTTAATCTAATTTTGTAAAATTGAACATTTTTTGAATTAAAATACATTAAAATTTTTCTTATAGCTTTAAATGAAATTGTAAATGTTACTAACAATATAAAAAAATAACTTTATCGAATATAAATAAACGTCTATAATTATAAGAAGTCATGGAGAGAAATTACTTATTCGTTAAATATATAAATTATTCGTTGATAAATTTAATTAACATACGTGCTAATAACTTTGATTTACGACAACTTGCCAAAATTAGAAATGATTATATCACAGTCAATGATACAATTGACATTTACATTTTATTACTTATGTTATGATGCTACTTTTACGCAATTTGCATTATCGATTGTATTATATGATCTAATTAAGAAATTGAAAGCTAAAGTAAATTTATTTAAGCAAACGAGACAAATTTTTCTTATTATCGTAATTGTATTGCATATAATAATTTTAAGAATAACTTTTTTTCTCTTAATCCCAGGTTGGAATAATGTAAACCTTATTGGAATGGGGAATAATATACAGTTTCCTTTAAAAAAATTCGTATAGCATATTTGAAAGTAATAAAAAATTAATAAGAAGAAAAATCGACATACATAAAAATCATGAGTTGCTGCAAAAGCTCAATAAATTAATAAATAATTTTTCAAAACTTACCGAATAGCTTCAATCTCTTCGTCCTTTTCAGCAATGCGGCGGTCGAACTCGTGACGCAGTTGACTCAATTCAGCTGACAGTCTCTGAGAGCGTTGCTCTTCAATTTTGCGGCCCTTGTATCAAATTTGTTTTAATTTAATATCTTCTCTTTACTTAGTGTATCATTTATGTGTTACATTTATATTAATGTATATTATTCTTAATTAATCTGTTAAAATTATTATACGTATTTATAAATATTTTCTAATTGTGAATTTATTTTAAACTCTATAATTTCTAAAATTTATTTCGTAAAATATTCTTAAAGAATTTTGATAAGAGACTTTGTTTTTTATTATTATAACAATCGAGTCTTCAGTTTTCAACACGTTAAGCTCTGTGTCGATTATAGAATATATGTTACTGTTAATCATCGTAAGATGAACGGGTGTAAACCCGTTTGATTGAAGTAATACTCATGTTGTACAAACAATAATTTTTACTCACTGCTTCAGCCTCCTTGTAGGCGGCAGCTAATTCTTCGCGTTCGTTCTCCAATCGGCGAAGTTCCAGCTCCAGTTCATGAAGTCTGCGATTCATGTCAGCCAACTGATTCTTTGCGTCGCTAAGATCATCTGCACAAACGTTATTAAAATTAATAAGACTTACAATTTATGTATATAAATAATTTTTTACTTTATGAAGGAAATATCTTTTCTATTCAAGAGAAAACCGGTTAAAGAATTACTTACTATACAAAGAAATGCTTCAGTTCTGTTAAGAACATCTGAATGTAAAATAACTTTTAAAGCAATAATTGATTATAAAAATTTACAGCTTAGAATTGCTGTTATATTTTCAGATTGCGTATTGCATATGTAAATAAGTGAATAAATATTGACAAGCACCTGCAAGTTTCTTGTTCTCACGGGCCAATTGATCTTTTAGTTCACGAGTCTTGTCGAGTTCGGCGTTTACGCGTTGCAGTTCTTGTTGTTTGTTGCGGAGATCGCGCTGGCTTTGTTCGTACATAGCAAGGGTTTCGTCCAGACGAGTCTTCAATTCAATGTTGACCTTCTCAAGATGTTCAACTCGCTTTTGAAGTTCACGGGCAGTTCCATTGGCCTTAAAGGAAAGCATTATGAAAATATGAGAAATTTTTCCCCATCTAAGAAGGTAAAATGTTTGCTTTTCAGAAAAAAATGTGTCAGCGCGAAGCTGGAACGAAATAAAAGCTTACCTTCTCTAAATCAATGATCAAGACTTCAACTTCCGATTGCAAGCGCGATTTCTGCTTCTCGAGATTGTTGATCTTCACAAGCAAAGTCTCGATTTGTTCTTCCTGTTCTTGGATACGAGCAGAATATTTGCGACGAAGTTCTTCTACCTGTGTGAAACCATGTCAAATGTTTCTTAGTAATTTGTCATCTCGAATTTCGTTATGGATGAGAAATAAGAAAATTAATTACGCTGGTATGAAAGCAATTATTAAGTTATATTTTTGTAATAATGTTCATTACCTCTTCGATACGAGCATTAGCCTCGGTCTCGTATTTTGATCTCCATATCGAAACTTCTCCATTAGCTTTGACCAATTGACGTTCGATATCCAAACGCGCCTCGGATTCTTCTTCCAGCTGGACGCGAACGGACTCCAATTCCACCTCGACCTATTAATTTATGTTAAAAACCATTTAATTTCATCTATTTCTCGAAAAGGTTTCTTTTAATTAAGAAAACAAAATTGTGTTCCGAATTTATTTCTGTTTTTGCTTTCAGTCTTTTAATTAAAATTTTTTAATAAAAAATAAAACACTATAAATAACTTATTTTATAGAATTTTATGGAAGTTTGATCATTTTTGAGTCATTAAATGTTTAAGACAAGTTATTTGTCTTAAAGAAAATTGTCGAAATCAATAAGATTATACCTGGTGCAAAGAAGCTTCGAGCAATGCACGACGACGATCTTCATCTTCAAGACGTCGGCGGGCATCCTCGAGTTGACCCGCAATTTGCGTCCTCAGATAAGTAACGTTTTCGATGTTCACCTAGAATTTTATTTAAATAATTTTAATAATCAGTGATTTGCAGTAAATATGTATACGTTTAAACTCTAAGTTGTACAATATTTATTACCTTGAGATCTTGCACCTCTTTGACTAATTCAATATTCTCTTGAGACAGCCGAGTTTTATGACTGGTGATATCGACAATCGTACGATTTAATTCTTCGATTTTCACGTTTAATTCAGATATGTGTATCTCGAGTTTCTCGACTGTTTTTATTGACATCAACTTTTCTTTAGTAACATTGTCAAGTTGAGCGAGGAGCTCATACACTTCCTGCTGGAATTTCGATTTTTCTTTGTCAGCTCTGAAATCACAAAATCACAGTTGCTAAGTAAACTTTACTTTATCTATTTTATTTTATTATTTGAAAAATAATACTTTTAACGTAAAAAAGCGAGTAAAGCGTTAAACTTCAACACAATTAATTAAATACGGCCTGTATTTTTAATTTGTAAGTCGATATACAATAAGATTAAATATATCTATAATACTCTTGAAACTTAAAAATTCTTTAAACATTGAGGGCTTGAGAGTGCTACACTGTCATTGGTGTGTTAACTACCAATTGTAATGTGTACGTCACCTACAGTTGACGCTTATTAAAAAAAAAGTTTAAATGTTTCAAATTGGGTGTTGAGAAAATTTGAACAAATTAGCTGTCAAAAAATGATAATAATACATGTCAAATAAAGTATAATGCAACACCTTATTATTGACCCGTTAATACGTAGGGAAACCATGGAGACCCATGGTCTTCATACGTTTTGTACGCATTAAGAAGAATGTTATGGGAAATTCTATTTTTCTGAAGGTAGAACGTTGAAGAATATGAAGAATATGAAGAAATTTGGGCAATATTGGATCCAGTCCTACATACGATAGAGGGTGTAAGATGTCAGTTAGCCGATTCCGAAGATAGTGGGGGTTCTCTGGCCGGTCGCGTGTACTAATATGGCGCGCCAACGTTGGGGTTGTGGATTACCGCGCGACTCGCACGGTTAAAAATAGTCATAAGCTGTGCGAGCGAAAGCAAGACAGAGAGAAAGAGAGAGAGAGAGAGAACGAGAAACACACGAGGGAAATAGAAGAAGACAGTGTTTTCGCAGCGAGAAAAAGAAAGAAGAGTAGCGCAATTACGAGATCTACCATGCCACTCCTCTCATTTCCTATTCTGTGAAAAAAATTTCTTTTTCTTTTGCGTGGTATTATACTGAAGATAGAATTAAAATAGTTAATTTTGGAACAATTATCTCGAAATTGGAGAAAGACAGAAGCTACAACGACAGACGAACAATGGACAGAGTCAAAATCATCGAAAAATATGACCTAAGATTGAGAGAATATATTGCTTGATTGACTCTTCTATTTTTACGAAGGTTCAAAAATTTGTCAATGTCGCAGTTGCGTGGGTTACGATTTATAATCGGCAGTGAAATCACGAGGAAAATGTAACCGGATTATATTTGACGCTATTTGCGTCGTTGCATTTCTAAAACGAGGTAACAGCTGCGTTGATTACTTATTATTTTTAGCAACTATGTATGTGTTGGCTATTTTGAATTAAATATTTTAGAAAATCATGTTCTCTCAAAGAGTTCCTGACAGAATAACGTAATGTATTGTAAATAATGAAACTATTGTTCCGATAAGTTACAATTTTTATATGGGATATACAATATATTTCCTTGGGTAACTTCATGCAAAATTAACCCGTTACAAATATTAAATATTCCTCAAAGTTTGAGATTATACTATAAATATCTCATCATTAAAAAGGATGCTACTGAATAATGTTTATCAAAGTTTTCTTTAAAAAATATTGATAGCAATTAATTATGGAATACATATAAGTTTAAGCTATTTCATTTTAAATATTTTTTAATTAAAAATTGCATTTATTTTGTGAATATATTTGTAAATGCTTAATTGTGTTTTAGAATAATATTTAGGGTATCAAGGAACAGTTGAACGAAGCTTTTCTCTTCGGACAGTTCATGCGATTGTCAAGGGGAATTGTTTTTCTCGATTATTCCATTTTTATCGAAAGCTATCCAAAAAAAGCAAAACTAAAAGCGGT